TTGGTAATTTCCTACCTTGTTTACCTCTGAATGCTTTTTAAAGTGATTTTTCTTCTGGCCCCCACAAAGGAAACAGATAAAAAAAAAAAAAAAAACCAAAAACCCACATTGAATTCTTGCTCCAATTCCAATCTGTTTGCTTTGGTTTTCCTTTTTAGATTATTGTTTGGCTTTAATTTGTTTGTTTCTCCTTTAAACGGGCTTGAGATTACTCAAGGGTTCCTTGTTCAGCAGGTCAAAGGGTAATTTGGAGACTTTGGAACCGTCTCCCTTTTTTATCACCACGTTTCGTTCTTCCCAGAGTCCAAAGGATTTTCAGGACGATAGCTCGATAGCTCGTGGAGGATGGCTCCATCTAAGGAAAACATGAGCAGCAGACCTGACTCAGTGCAGGAAGCCATAGCAGTTTTTCTTAGATGAAAAAGCCCCCACTGATCTAAGTCTAAATCAGAACCTTAATTAATCCTTATCTGTAACTAAAAGATTAAGTGTATTGGGGTTTAAATACATTGAGGTTGATAGGTTTGATACTCAACTGCCAGCCCAGGATGGAGACCCTAAATTTAACTAACTTCAAGTCAGAGAGGTACCCATACACAAAAATATACAGTGTGTGCTATTAAAAAATGTCCTTTAACTGAAAGAGTCAATCTGTTCCAGAGTTAATCCCTGCTTTTAAAAGAGGAAGGTCAGTTCTAACAGCTCAGCCACGGCACTGTGGATTTGTAGGACAGCAAAATGAAGCATGGGGTAATGTGGGCTCCTTAACAAAAATCCAGGTGTTGCTGTAAGAACCATTTGTTTCCTGTGTCACCCAGGTTAATTGAGCTCTGTGTCCTTTAATGGAAAAGACCTGCTGAAAATATGCTATTTCCTACAAACAGAAACAAAGGAGATTGTACAATTAGATCAGCGCTGTCACTTTTACTTGTTGAGCTCCAAACGTTCTCCCATGTGCTGTGTGTCCTGAGCCCTGCCAGGAGCTGGAGTGGAGGCTATTCCAGAGGCCAGGAGGGCTGCCAGCCCCCTCAGAGGCTGCAGGGCCATTTCAGCCCAGTTGCTAAGGGATGCTGGAGCGAGATGTCCTCAGTGTCTCCTCTTCCAAATGAGCACATTGGCTTGGCCACAGCTCCACCCCCACAGTTCACAGCCAAAAGTTTACGAGGTCACATTCACTGTGGACAGTGAGAGCCCACAAGGAGCTGCACAACTGTCCCATCTGAAAATCAGTTAACCATTTCTTCTTTACTACTGGAGGCACCCACGTGCTCAGTGCCTTCAACTCACTAACAAATGTGAATTATTTGCAATAGGAAATAAGGGTGTTTGTCACCTGGAGGGTTTGGGAGGAAGCTGTAGGGTGAGAGGGCATCTGACCTGGGTCTCATAATCAGCTCTGAATACAAAGAGTAACTCGAATGAATTCAGAGCCTGACTCTGGTCAATTTCGAATAAAACTGATGCAACATCAGAACTTTAAGCAGAAAGTTTTATCCATTTCGTTAAAAAGATAAAAGAGCAGAACAACATGAAATACATGTCTGAAAAGCCTTTTTTCAACAGGCTCAGCATCTACTCTGTTAAGGCAATAGTTTCTTCAAAACCAAGTCTTGCATCTACATTTCCAGCCCATGTTTGTGAATTTTACAGCAGTATTTATTTGTCTTTTACTTGTACAATTGTGAATATCCTCATGCACTAGAAGGGAAACTACCACAAGGAAAATGCATTGAAATACATGTAACAGTCTGTCAGATATAAAGTAAATATATGAAAATAGGAAAAAGATAGTATTTTCCTTGAGGTCCTCTTGAGTGATTAAATCAGAAAGTATTACATGTAAATCTTAAAAGGACAGAAGTTCATGTGTGTAGGATGGGGGAAGCATGATGTGAACTTTTCAACAAGTTCTCTCTCCTACTACTACTGATAGTCTGCTTCTACTTTATATCTAAATCTTTTCATTCATTTTTAAATCAAGCTAATATAGTTGTCCTAGCTGGGAAGAGTAAAGTCTGCTTAAGTTATGAACTTCAATAGGACTGCTCAATTGAGTGAAGTTCAGGTTTATTTACAGGATTAGGATATTGTTACAAATCCTTCTTTACTTTTAGGCACCATAGAGTAGATTTTGGGGCAAAAGCTGTGGAGGGAAAGTGGAGAAAATAATTGTAATAAAATTCCTCTTTTAAAAAAGAAATTAACAAAATTAAAAGACCTGATGATTTTCATTAGGATGTAATAGAAATTAGGTCAATAGGACTAAAAATCTGTTAACTAAAGCAATCAAGTGGACTGAAATGGATTATAGATACAAGGAACTTTTATACACCCTCCTTTTCTCCCAAATATTCCACTGAAATATTATTACTTTTAATTTTCCTGCTACCTCTCCTTGTGAGATCTTTTCTGGTTTGAGAAGTGAAAACATTAGAATATTGTTTTACACTGTTAAACCCCCTGTTCTTTTTGTGAAATCCTTGCCCTGAGATGTGTGCTGGTGTGTCAGAATCTTTGCATTTACTTTAGACTGAAAAATAAAAAACAACAGCCTCTGTTCTATTAAAAGTGTTATGTTCAAGCACAGAAGGAATGTCAGTGAATCTGAACTTAATCTGTAAGTGTGCAATGCTCACAATCTTCTGTGTGTAACCTTGTATTTCCCATTAATTTAAATAGTGCAGGATTGAGTCAATAGCCATAAATCTTCTGATGTCCTTTTACAGCCATTTCCATGTTCTTGTTGCCTTACCTTTTTGGAAAACATTTTCATTTAACATGCAGCAATGTCCTTTAACACCCTATTTTCAAGCTTCAAATAGACTTTTATCACAGAGGCACTCTGCCCATACATATAGTTATTTTATCTTTGCATTATTTGTTCCTAAGGCTGCAGGTTCTTCAGAAGTGAGATTTAATTTTATGGTGAGTCAGGGGTCAGATTGTGCCTGCACTTACCCTTCTGATGGCAGGAGTCTCGTGAAACTCAACTTCATGGATTTTTACAAGATGGAAGATAATGGAACTAGTTCCAATAAGAAACACAATTTATTCTAAAGACACATTAGCAACCTTATGTTATTTAAACAAATAAAAAAGAGTGAGAACAGCTAATGTGTTGGTATGCTCACTCTTCAAACGATGGGCTCCTAATCTGGACAGCTCTGAAAAAACTCCTGGCAGTTCCCTGGGTTTGTAAAGTGCGGGTGGTGCCTGATGTCCTGAGTCCTGTCAGATTTCAGGAAAACAAAAACAATCTGTAATTGCTCGTAGGTTACACGATGTGGGAGTTTTCTTTTTGTTTCATGTAGCTTTTGACACTTTCACACTTTAGTAACACTTGTAATACAAGGAGCTAATTCTTAATTCTGTTGTAAGTAACTGGGAGCTTTGTGAATTAGCTGAGTGTGATTTTCTTTTTCAGCTGCCTCATGCTCTGCTCAGCCTAAAGACAGAGGCACAAGGTACCTACAGCAGTGGCAGTGATTCCTGGTTTGTTTGGGAAGGGATGGGTGTGCACTGCTGCACAACAGCGTTCACACAGCCGTGACTCCCTGTCCACGGATGCTTTGGCATCTTTACCCATCCCATTTCCCTGTACAGACAGGGATTTTAGCCTTTTGTATATTTCCAGCAATAACTTCTGTCTTGTTTGTGTGTTCCTTCGTGTTTGGAGCTTGAGATGTTTGGGGCTCCCTTCCCCCCAGCTGGGACCCGGAGGGAAGCAAAGCCTGGAGGCTGGGGCAGATTTTCCCCCCTGTGAGGTGCCAGGTACTGGCACTTCTGCAGTCTATTCATACCTGAAACCACACAAAAAGTATGAGGTTCGCTAATTTCCAGTCCAAATTCTGCTTTTCTGAGTCCTTTATGCCTTGTAAACTCCACAGTTAAAATATATTTTAATATTGTGTATAACATGAAAACTACACAAATAAATAACCTATAAAAGATACAAGGAATTATTACCGTATTTGTTTCAGATCAATCTGGGCATTGCTGAGCCAAGTTTCTTTAAGACCTTTTAAAACTGCTCTTAGCCTAAAAGGACACATAGAGAGCCCAGTAAGAGTGTCTTCTGTGCATTTAAAAATAGTGACTGTGATGTTCCCTGTTTCTCCTGAGGTCCCCCCCTCTTTCAGCAAGGGCAGCTCAACAGATGTATTTGATGACATTAGCTGTGACCTCCTAGTTGTTTGCTCTATTCACATAATTATTTTACTGTGGGTGTTTCTAAATATAGTAACTGCGTGATGTAAGAAGGTGTGTTCGTGGGAACAATGTGGTAGATAATCGAATTTTGCAAATGAGGGTAAATAATATTTGTAGAGTAAAGGACATTTCACTAACTCATGTTGGGGGGGGGGGGGGTGTGCATAGAGAAAAACTGCTTGTATATTTCAGGGATCCGGGTTATACAAAGAGCAAAGCACCAACCTTTGTTTTCCAGGCGTAACTGATAAATTGTGTAATTTTTGCAATGAGGTTTTCAAAACATATTTTAGAGAAGAAAATGGAGCTAGACAGGGTAGAAGCAAGTGTGTGCATCCAGCTGGTACAGAGAGCATCCCCTGGTACCTTGAGCCCGCAGTCCTGGCCGGGATGGACAGAGACAGGGAAGGGATGGACCCGGGGCGAATCGCGGGGTGCGAGCGATCACCCACCCAAAAAAAAAAAAAACCAGCCGCAAACCATTCAGCACCGTAACTCCCACATTCATCATCGAGGAGCGGCGGGGCACGACTCGCTTACAATTTATTGAGACTCCTGTGAGCTGCGAGCCCGGCTCGGGGCGCCTCCATGCCGCGGTGCCCGGGGCCGGAGGCAGCCGGGAGGCTCCGAGCGGCGGCGGGGCCGGTTCGAAGAGGGCGCCGGCGGCGGCGCGGGGTGACGCGGGCATCATGTGAGCGGCCCCGCTCGCTCCCAGCGTGCAGTGTGGGCCCGCTCGCCCCACCCCGCGCTCCGCCGCCGCGGAGCCGCTCAATAGGGGAAGGGAAAAAAAAAGGAGGAAAAAAAAAAAAATGCGGGAGAGAGCAGGAAAAATAAGACGGGGAAAAATCCGCCCGTGAGGGGACAGGTTCTGCTCGTGGCACAGAGCAAACGGGCTCGCCTTGTTTTTTTTTTTTTAATTTTTTTTTTAAATATTATTATTATATTTTGTATTTTCTTCTCGCCGAGAGGATTCAGCCGCCTGGAAAGCGCATGTGAAAAGAGCAGCAGCAAGGAGAGGGGAGGAAAAAAAAAAAAAAAAGGAAAAAAAGCGGGGGTTTGGCTTGGACCCCCCCGCCCCAGTGCGGGAGGAAGGACCCGCGGCGGCCGGAGGGCGAGGAGCTGCGGCGGCCGGCGAGGGAAGGGACCGGGGCTGCGTGACCCCCGCGGCGCGGGGGGAGAGGCGAGGAAGAGACGTTTCCCGATCCTCCCCGCCGAGGATTTGGGGAGGTTTCCGCGCCTGGAGCCCCTGCCTTTGGATCTAAAGAGGATTATTATTTTTTTGGGGGTGGCACTGAAGCTGGATTTGTTCCTGTGCGTGCGGCGCGGGGGGGGGCATTTCTACTGCCTCTAGAGGAGCCGGCGGCCCGGCCGGGGCGCGGAGATCCCCGCGGATCGCTCCGCACCCCCCGGGAAAGGTGCGCCGAGGGGATCGGCGGGGGGCGGGGGAGGAGAGGCAGCTGCAGCTGCCGGGGAGGAGGCCCGGCGGAGCGGCAGCAAAGTCATCGCTATCGGCCCCCCCTCGGCTGGCTTCGGGCTCGGCGCTCTCCATGTCTCTGGCTCTGGGCAGCGGCCGCCACAGCAGCGAGTAGGGGGGGAGGAGGAGGAGGAGGAGGAGGAAGAAGAAGGGAGCCCGGGAGTGCCTCCCTCCCTCCCTCCCTCCCTCCCCCCGGCAGCCCCGGCCGCCTCCCGTCCCCTCGCCCCGCGTCCCTGCCTTCCCCTCCCCAAGATGGGCTGTTTAGGGAACAGCAAGACGGAGGATCAGCGCAACGAGGAGAAGGCGCAGCGGGAGGCCAACAAGAAGATCGAGAAGCAGCTGCAGAAGGACAAGCAGGTCTATAGGGCCACGCACCGGCTCCTCCTGCTGGGTAAGGGGTCGCGGGCCGTCCCCTCCCCGCCGGGGCAGCGGCCCCAGCCCGGGCGGCAGCGGGCCTCGGGCGGGCGTGGGGAGGGGGCCGGGATGCCGCGGCGAGGGGCCCGCGGGGAGCCGGGCAGATAAACAGGGCAGGGCAGTGACAGCGGCCGCGGGCGAGCGGCGCGGCCAGCGCAGGAGGGCCGGACACCGCTCCCCGCGCCGCGGCCGGGGTGCCGAGGGACGTGCGGCCAGGCCGGGGAGAGGAGGAAGAGGAAGGGAGGAAGTCGGGGAATCGTTTGGGGGAAACGGAGGGAGGATGTCGGTCCCGGAGGGAAGCGCGGCCGCGTTGGGGCCGCGGAGCAGCGCAGGGCCGGCGGGCTCGGCCCCGGCCCCGGCGGGCTCGGCACCCTGCGCTGTCGCACCAGGAATTGAGGTACCGCGCCTTGGAGCGCTGGCACAGCCGGGCTCCAGGTGCTGCTCCAGCGGCTCCTTTGGGTTACCTGCTCGTGTTTTTCAGGAGAGACGTTTACAAATGTGGGCTGTGGCTTTCAGGGAACGGAAGGGTCCAAATATCGATATGGGAGAGGACAAGCAAACGTTTGTCAGGCTGATTGTTTCAGAGTGTTTTGAAGTAGTGTTTTAGGATCGGATGCAGTTACGAGCCGTGGGTTGTTTTGGTCACGCCGAGGGACTGCCTGTGCACGTTCTGCAGGGCTGTAGCGTGGAGCACAGGCTAGGCCTCGCCGAGCTGACTCAGTTTTGGGGGGAAAAACCCTAATGGAAGGAGGGGAAAAAAAAAGAAAAAAAGAATTTTTGAAGGCGGTGAATTCGGAAGCGTACTATCACCAGTAAAATCGTTCAAATACTCATTTGAAGAGAGAGACTTAATATAAATGGGGAGTGACTGGGAGTACAGCAGCACCTGCAGCACTGAGGAGCCTGCCAGGGCTTCAGCAGAAATCTTTTAACAGGATAATTTGGACTTCAGCTCTTGGGAAATGTCTTGGACTTCCAGATTTCAGGCTGCACATTACGTAGATACATAAAACTATTTGTCATCAGACGAGTTGCTTTCGTAAGAGGCAAAATTTCAGCAAACAGAAACATGATGGGCTTGCCTGGGTTTTCTTTCTGTTTTCTTTAGTTTTGGTGGCTGAAAAATAGTTTAGATACTTGCAAATAAAAATTTGCGTGTGTTTAGAGACGGCAGTAAAGTCATCTGTGAGTGTGTTTGAAGTGATAGTTCAGCTGTTACAGTTTCTGCCATGAATTGTGGATAGTCTGTAACTCAGAGTCACTGGTAAAAAATATAAACGCTCACCTCCCTATTATTATGTTTCCTGTAGAAGACACATGAAATGAGAAGCCAGGCGCTTGGAAAGTGTTCTTAATCTTTTCAAATCATATTCAAATAACAACAAAGAAGAGCTGCTGAATATTCTAGTGGGTTTTTGCTGCTGCTCGTAGGCCCCGTCGCTGTACACGTGCTTGCCCCACTGCCACAAGCAGTCTCTGGAATTAATGGAACTCTCCTTGGTGGTGAAGTTAAACGTGTGTGTGTGTAATTGTTGTTGAGAATATGACCTTAACAAGCAGCCAAATATAGAGCTGGACTTATGGGGAAATGGAGATGTAATGCATCATTTTGGTTCACTGGTGTTGTATCCGATCCAGAGAACCCAGGTGTGTCAATACCAAACCAAATGTGTTTATAGCAAATGCAACAACTGTCCAGCTCCTTCTTGGACCAAGTGAAGTAAAGATTTTGGCTCCCAATGCTTATAAATATGAAATGTGATTTAGTGTTACAGCTGAAATTTAGTTGTTATTAATTTTTAAGTGGACATATGACTATAGCAGATACTGCCTTCGTGAATAATTCTTAGTTGTGAAGACGATCCAGTCTGTTTTATCCCGAGATACCAATTCTTGATTGGTTCAGCCACCTGTGTTTATTGTATGTTGCAGTCTGCCTGATCAGACAGAGGGTGTATGGTATAAAATAGCAGCTTAGTGAAGAAGTGGCGTGTGCATAAAGAGTTGTAGATAAAAACTGCTCTCTAAACACTTACAGAACAGCAGTGAGCAAGGAGAAGAAAAAGGAGTAAGGATTAAAGTGGCAAAACGTTCAACCAGGTTTTATGGAGAGCAGAAGAGGACTTTTGGGAATTCATGAGGGAGAAGGAAAGGAAGGGAGAAAGCAGGGGGGGAAAGCATTTTTGAGAAAATGAACCTTGAAATGTAACTGCTAAAATACAGTTTTGAACATGAGGCTCAAAATGGAGGCTTGTGCTGTCAGTGTGTGCTAGCAGAGGCCTGACATCCTATAAATACAAACTGTACCTCCCTGCCCGTTCTGCCACAGACATACAGTTCCTGTGGGTGAGACACAGGCTGGGGAGGGGAATAAACCAGTAGCCAGGAGATGCTGAGGGGAATCTTTCTAAATTTTGCCACGTTACGATACTACTCCTGCAAAAATATGTTTGCTTTATATAGAAAGCTGCCGATCTGGCAGCGTGGAGCAGCTCAATTAAATGCTGCTGTTGGAGTTGTTCAGCGTGCATGGAAAAACGGGTACTACAGGCAGATGGGCTGCCCTGTGCTCTGGCATCCGAGCAGCACAGCAGAAATAGCATCCATCTACTTATGGAAACTGGAGTAAAGTGGAGTGGGGTTTTTGCACTGCAGGTACGGGAGGGGAGCTCTTTGGAGCAGGCAGCCACAAAAGGTGGTGTCTGCCTCTCCTCGTGCCTAGGGTTGATTTTGGAACATGTAGGGAGGGTGGGAGGCTGCTTACAAGACACAAATAAGAGGAGGTTTTTTGTAGCTTTGTGGGTGGAGGCTTAAAGGGATGCCTTCCTTTTTCAAATGTGAGTATCTGCATATTTTATTCCTTGTGATTTAAGTTACGGAGTTTGACTGGGTGATGATGAACTGCAGCCAAACTTAGAGTTCTTTAAGGATATAACAGAATTTCTTTGGTTTAATAGGATTTCAGTCAGTCTTTCCCTCTGTCAGATAGTAGTGACAAGGCAGCCAGGTTGTGATGTTCCGTGTCGTCTTCTCTGTAAAACGTTGAAGTTGTCCATTTTCTTTCCAAATCCTGCAGTCTGCTTTTAACATTGACACTGGAAAAATGGACAGTGAAATGATCCAAGATTCAGATCTGACACATGACTTGAGCTGGGCATTTATTTTTAGCTACAACTGAAGTTTCCAGTGGCAATTATTTCTTTCACTTTTCACTCTTGCACTGAGAAACCCAACTTTCTCGTTTTTACCCCGAAGAAAAAAATTCTAGTGTGTGCCTTAATCACTTATGCTTCCTTCTGAAATTGACTTACTTTCATTTTCTAGGTGCTGGTGAATCCGGTAAAAGCACAATAGTCAAGCAGATGAGGATCCTGCACGTGAATGGATTTAATGCTGAGTAAGTGCATTTGCTTTTTCACTTCACATTGTACCTTCCTCCTTTGTGCTGCAGTCGCTGCTCCTGGTTTATATCTTGTGTATTTTCCTCTTGCTGCTGTTTCACTGTCTCCAGAATTTGGATGTGTGTTTTTAGATGAGATTAATAGATATTAACCTAAAGAAGTCAGGCACCAATCATAAGTAAGATCTAGCAGTATAGAATTATTTCTGTCAAGGCAGAGCTGATTTGATTAGGTTTTACGTTTTGTGGGTTTGTTAATTGCAGTTTCTTTCACAACATGGCTGACACTGATTTATCTCAGCTATAGCACATTGATTCATATTGCTGTAAACGTGCCTTGTGTCAGTGTACAAAATGAGCACAATTTTCTTTATTTGGAGCAAGTAAGGCTTTATTTTCTGTGTCCTCACACAATGAAATCATACTCTGAATTTTGGGGATTTTGTTGTGCTTGCTTGCCCAGATGTTTGTGTTAAATTATCTTTCTAAAAGCTCTTATTTTTTGCATCTCATATATGTTGTTTGACAGTTGTGAAGAGGAGAATGGTATTAAGATATGGAAAATGGATATCTTGTTGTTTGTCTGAGAAAGATTTTTGTTTGCTAACTTTTTGACTAACTTTGCTACAGAGTAGGAAGAGATTCTTCTGCATGTTAATTTATGCTTGCAGTTGTGAGTGTGTGTATACCAAAAGCTGCTAAATTAATACTAATTGAATCAAAGTGTGAAAACTTCAAAGCTTATTTTCTGTGCTTATTTTTTTTTAGCTTTTAGTGGTATCATATATTTTGTGAATCCTCCATTTTTGGGAAGGTTAAGCTTTTATTAGTCTTCCAGTAGTCAATTCTTTAATAGGAATATCTGAGCTGGAAGTTTAGCCAAGGAGTCTGGACAGTACTTCTTCCTAATCAGCAAATGATAGTTCAGGATAAGGTACACAGTCTTTTGGATGAAAGTTCAGACTGATTCATAAGAAATACTTTATGTGCTACATGTTTTTAGCTCCTCTTTGTAAGGAATATTTTCTATTTCCAAAATAACTTTTTCATCAATGCCTAGTGCTGCATCCTGTTACTGCTGAGCTGTCTCTGTCATTTGGGCTGCTGCAGAGACCTCTTAAAAAACTTGTGTGACTTAAAAGACTTGCATGAGTTGACTTGGTTGAGTAGGTCTCAGTATTGGGTGCTGAGTAAAAAGTTCATAAATGAAAGTGGAAGTGGATCCCTGGTACCTTTGAAAGTGTCAATCCATTAAACAACAGGGTTTTTCTAAGTTTTTAAGCATGTGGATTCTCTTAGAGGGTAACAGTGCTGTGTAGTGGCTGGTGTGTGATGTGGGGAGGTAACCCCAACCCTGCAAGCTGCACAGCCAGATCAGTGTGGGACTGGGAGCCCAGAGAGCTGTGCAGAGCCGGTGGGGAACTGGGACACACTGGGGTTTGCAGCAGCAGGGGCTTCCTCCAGTGTCTCACCTTGCACTGTGGGCTTGGGCAGAGCTGAGCCTGCAGCTGGAATCCGGGGCAACATGGCACATTTGGCCTCAGGAGGCTCTGCTGGCTTCTGCCTTCTCCGAGCAGGGGATTTGAATTACGGGGCAGCCCCGTGCCAGCACAGCCCTGCTGCCAGTCACGGGGCACGTCCTGGCCACACCGGAGCTGTGGGTTGTCCACCCGTGGCATTCTGTCCCTTGTGCTTGTCCTTTGGTGGGTAATATCCATTGGAACACTGAGGTGCATAAAAATCCAGTGCAGAAGAGTGGTATATTTAAAGTGTACAGGGAATAAGTTAAAACGCATCATTTTTAGGGTTCTGCTGCCAAAAATAATCAGTAGATCATAACATGCACTTTACAGCAGGGAAAAGGCTGTTTTTCAGTGTTTTGAAATTCTCGCAAGTTACACATCTGTCCTTAAATAACTTGCATTTTCTTCCAAATAACTAACTGCTCTCTGTGTTGTCTCGCTTTCCATTACCCTTTTTGCCTGATTCATTCCCCTTCTGCCCTGCTTACCTTGTGGAAGAGTCATGTGGGATTCAGCTAATGAGAGAAATAGCATGGAGGTTTTTTTGGAATGGTAGGAAGAGCAAGGAATTACTTCTCCTCATGTCCTGGTCAGTTGCTCTGGTACATAAACATGTTCAAAAACACACATAGACCACAGCTGATGTGATGAATAGCAGAAGAGAGGTGGTGAAAATAGTAATATGCTGCAGATGATAATAGTGAAAATATTAATATGCTGAGATGATAAAGTACAAGTACATTTTAGTGTACTTGTACGTAACTAGATTTGAATTATTTCTGCGGGTGCAGCTTATTCTTGTGCTTTGAAAGAAATCCAGTTTCAAGTCCTGTCTTAGAATTGTTTGCCTTGGTTTGGTTGCCCTTTGGCAATGGATATTTGAAGCAGAGAGAGGTTACCTGTTAGGAAAAATGTCTAATGCTGTGAATGAAGGAATCAAAAATTTTTATTTAGTGTTACTGTTCTTTCTGGTGACTAAACAGGATATCCAGTGCTAAAAGTGCTGGCCTACTTCAGTGAGTGTGAGGGGATTTTATTTGGTTTGGTTTTAGGATTCTGCCCCTAAATAGTTGAAGTTGTCGTGTGCCTTTAGGTGAATTATTGTAGGATTTTGCAACGTGAAATCTGTGTAGTTCTATGAAACTAGAATTTCCTCTGGGACTCCAATTCTCAATCCCTTTAGCTAATTAATTATTTGAGGAACTGTAAGGAATCAAGTGCTCCAGGTAATTAATGTGCTGAATAGCTAGAGCTAAGATTAATGTGATGGTAGTTAAAGTTGTAGGCAAGTTAACTACAGTAAAGACTAATTTTTTTCAATGTTCCTTTTTTAATCCTTAGTTGAATTAGAGACAGAAATACATTTTTTTCTGTTGCTGTAGTGAAGGTGGTGTGTGGGATGTAAGAGTGCTGTGGCATTGGGGAGTAGAGTATTGGAGAAGCAAGGCATGTTGTACAGCACAGGATTTTCTGCACGGAGCTTTTCTGGAAGGGCTTAGCCCACTTTCAGCTCTTGCTAAAAGGCTTCAGGTGGCCATGCTATCATCTGACATCTTCCTGCAGCAATTCCATGAAAAATGGGAGTGTGGCCTCCCCGCAGTGTTTTTCCAGTGCTCCTGGTTCTGTGGAAGAGCTGCCTTCTAATGTAATGAAGAAGCCGTATCAACCAAATTTTCTACTCTTTGCATTACTGCCAACAACAGAGGCCCTTTTGATGTAGAAAGGGTTTAAATTTGGCTTTTAATAGCAGGAAGCCTGCGACTTCCCTTCCTTTCCTTCCCTCCCTCCTCAACACTTCAACTGTCTTTTCACGAGGCAGTTCCAGAGGAGTAGGTATCTGCAAACAGTGTTTTGTGAGCATCCACTGATAAGCTGGAGCCAAAACCTTCTCTTTTTGACTGTGCAGAAGTTTAGATGGCAATCTTTCTAAGGATGAAAAATGGGAAGGGGAGGATAGGAGGAGTTAAGGAATATAGTTGGAAGAATTAAATGTGTAGCTCAGGTTGAAGAGGAAAAGAAAAGCTGCTCCTTTTTGTGCTGTCTAGAGGCTGGGGTTCTTTGCTTCTAAAACACATGGCCTTTCACTTACTTCTGATTTCTCTAAGTCATCTTTCCCCTCTGTGATCACAGTGGCTTTGGCTGACTGACTCTAAGGAGAGGGTCATTGTCATGCACAATTTTAGAAAGCAGGGAATAATTGACACGGGCAAGAGACAGTTTTGAAGTGTCATGGGAAAAACTGGGACAAGCAGAAATATTTAAATAGAAAGAAATGGTTGAAATGTGACTTACGAAATCCACTACAAAGATTGACAAATAAGGGGAGTATGCCTTTGTGATTATTAAGTTTGGATAGTGTTTAGGATTCAGGAAGTCTTGAGGTTACAGGAAATTTCAGGTAATGCTTTTCCACCTCAGTTTCCCAAATGATGTAAAATGTTGACACTTTCTTGAACTAGTATGTTGAAGTGCTGAACAGGAGTTTGTGTATTTATTAGATTTGGTAGTGTTGATGGCATAAGCAGAGCTGAATAGCTTTGTTTTCAAGACTTAAATGACTAATATATTTGCATTTCTCTTGTACTTTTAAATATTATTTTCTCTCAGTGAGAGAGCTAAGAAATCCAGGTCACCCTCCTAAAGATTTCAAGCGTTTTCTCTTTTCTCACCAAGATTTAGGAGTTTGTGGGTAAGGAAAAGTAGTCATTGATGGTTTCTAATCTTCTCTTAATATATCCATTACCACCATTATGTCACATAAACAGTAAATAATATTATCTAATCACTTTAGTCAGTGTCAGTCTCTCTTCTAAGTGAGACAGCTTCTGGGTCAGTAACTTTACTTTTCAGTTGTCTGATACTGTGGGGTTTTTTCTAACTTTTGTCATCTTATGGAAGCGAAGGTAATGCTGTGAGCGAGGGAAAAGTATAATATTTGTAACTAAGTTCTTCCAAAATAATGAATTCCCTCCTAATGGCTAATCTTAGCTTGTGTACACAATTATGATTGCTGTGTCTTTATAGTTCCTTTACATTTGTGTACCAATCCCATGTTTTCAGAATGGTCACTTCAGTTCCTTGCCAAGAAACAAACAGACTTTATTGTGTTTTACTTGACTGGCAGCAAAAGTAATTTTTTCCTGGTGTTCTTGAGTAAAATTGAAAATTGGAGTGGGGGTGGCTTGGGGTGTGTGATTCCCCTCGCCCCCTTTCTTTCTTTCTTTGCATTACAGTGTCTGTCAAGAGACTTCTGCAGCTTTGAGGCACAAATTTTGGGTTTTTTTTTTCTCAGCTCCTGCTGGAGGACACCAGTGAGGTGCTGGAAAATTTGTGTGTACATGTCTGTTCAATTCCATCTGAACAACTGGTTGTGGTGTCAGATGAAAATCTGTGCTGCAGAACATGAAGTGGAGGTGTGGGCAAAGAGGGGAGCAGGATTTGTGTTTCACTCAGTTTTGGGTTTTGTCCTGAGAG